CGGTGCGTTTCTGAGATGCGACAGTGCCGTGCGTTAAGTCAGTACTATCTGGAATCGGCACTAGTGTCGCAGCGGAAGCTAGTACGGTTTCCGGTTCCTGTTTCTGGACTTTTGCGTGAGGCTTTGGACGGCTGCCCTTGTTTGCGATCCATGCGCAAGCCTGTTTAAAGTCGAGCCAGAAATGATTGTAGTCACCTACCTCGTCGATGTAACCAGCAGCTAAGAAGTAGTAAAACGCCATCGCTCGTACTCTGTTGCACAAAGTTTGCTTGCCAACTGAGAGGTCTCCGACGTCACAAAACGGTTCATCGATATCGACATGCTGGAGACTGCTCTGTTGCACGCGATAGATGCTCGAGTCTGGGTTGACATAAAAGTATCCGATATGGTGATTTTTCAATCAATGTACGTAGATATAGACCAGAGGCTTGAAGTCCAGAGACGGGGCGTCGAAGGTGCCCAGAGTAAGTACCATCTCGGACGCGTCCTGTGGCCAATGGGTGTCGACCATTGGACCAAAGCTTTTGCGATGACTGAACTTGACGGTCTCGAAAGCTGGGAGTTTCTCAAAATCATCGGGTATGAGAGACCGTGCCTGCCTGGAAACGGTTTGTGTGTACCAATTCGTCACGCTTTCATCGATAGTGATGGGATTGTTGACGTTGGTATATCCCATGGTAGGAGATTCTTGCAGTCTAGCACCGCGTACCAGTAACTGTGAGCTCTGACGGGTTGATTAGTATTCCACCAATAGTAAAGTTATGCTGCACGCACAAGGTAGTGTACCGGAGACAAGGGAAAAGGGCCGAGAAAGTGTGTTAGTAATCGGAAACGATGAGAGGCAAGGTCTGGACCTCAAAGAGATGAGAGCTTTATACAGAGAGAGATCCTGGCAGATTTGAAGTGTATGAAGTGATAGAGTAAGGCTACAAGAGCGGTACGTGAGAGTGATGTATACCTGGGCAGGACCTGCACCTGAGTGAGAGCAACGAGGCTACCTCGAGAAGCTACCGCGACAAGGTAAAGGCCATCAACGCGAAGTACGATAAGATGAGAATTCTCATGGACACTTTTGACAAATATAATCGATCAGCATCACCGCGACCCTGTCAATTAGTTCTGAGCCTTGGAATAGCCTGGACGTATGATCGTAGGGACGCGACAGGCTCGTTACCACGCGCATGTACCTAGGTAGTGATAGAACTCAACCGAGTATTGTCATGCTCAGTTCGCAAATGAATGAGAAGGGTTTGATCATCTGTAGACTGCAGGCGGTCGGTCCTGGGCGAGATGGCTGATGACGTCGAAGTTGCCCTAGTAGGTCTCTCATAATTGCGGCACAAAAATTCTAGAAGCCACCACCATCTCGTCTCCGTCCTGACCATCGTCAAATTCCACCATACACCGTCTTCCATACCATCAAGTCTGCGGCGCTTTCGTCCACGCGTACAATGATCGGAATACGCACTACCATCGGCTGTTAACCGGTTCGGCGGACTTTCTCAGCCAGTTGTTGCCGATCTCTCCGATCCCCGCCATTCATCCCCACAATCAGCCAGTAAAGCTTGAGCCGCCCTCCGCACGCTTAACTGATCTTGTTCTTGCGCCCAGCTTTTAGCCTGAAGTACGGTGCGACCCTTAGACCTCGTTTTGCTTCCTCGGTGAGAGATGTCACGACAATTGCTGCCGTAAATGTGCTAATGACGTGTTGATCATGGAGAAAGCATGGTGACCTATAAAGGATCTTGGGGACGGCGGCCAGTATGTGGATATTGACCGTTATCCATTGGCTTCAATCATGCGACTTTTACTCACCACCTTGTTTTGCGTGCTGGGCGTTGCTGTAGCCGAAGATGGCTCACAAGGCTGGCTGCGCTATGCTCCTATACCGGACGGGCGATGCGCACAATCGGTACCCCCGGCGATCATCGCGTTGAACAGCACGAAAGTGAGCCCTGTCTACACCGCAGGCCAAGAGCTTCAGAGAGGCGTAGAGGGCATCATCGGACGAAAGCTCAACGTCAGCTCGACGGCAGACCAAAGTCAGTCTGCCATCATCGTCGGAATATGGGACGCCTACGTAGCCGCATACGGAAGCATCGATGAATGCGAGAACCTGGACGAAGATGGTTTCTTCCTCAGCACAACTACCCCTGGCAAAGTCATGATCATCGGACAGAATGAACGCGGTGCTCTCTATGGAGCCTTTGAATATCTTTCTCAGCTCGCGCAAGATAACGTCACGGCTGCCTCAACGGTATACAACCCGCAAGTACCCATCCGATGGACAAATGAATGGGACAATATGGATGGCAGTATCGAACGAGGGTATGCTGGCCCTTCATTGTTCTTCCGGGACGGATTTGTCGTAGATAACACGACACGGGTTGCTGAATACGCTCGTCTGCTGGCATCAATTCGTGTAAACGGGGCCATCATCAACAACGTCAACGCAAACGCTACGCTACTCAACGATCGCAACGTGGAAGGCCTTGGTAGACTCGCTGATGCGATGCGACCATGGGGTGTGCAACTTGGCATATCCCTCAACTTCGCATCTCCGAATGCCAGTCTAGGCACATTCGATCCTCTAGACCCGAAGGTAGATGCATGGTGGGCCAACATCACCAACCAGATTTATTCCAAGGTTCCAGACATGGCCGGTTATCTCGTCAAAGCAAATTCAGAAGGACAGCCTGGTCCATTGACCTACAACCGAACACTCGCAGACGGCGCCAACATGTTCGCGAGGGCAGCTAAACCCCATGGTGGTGTTGTCATGTTCCGCGCTTTCGTCTATGACAACCACATCAATGAGACCAACTGGTACAACGACAGGGCGAATGCGCAATTGGAGTTCTTTCAGCATTTAGATGGAAAGTTCGACGACAACGTAGTTGTTCAGATCAAGTTCGGCCCGGTATGTCTACAGACGCTATCTATCCAAGAGCAGACTAACGTATCTCTGTTTCCCCACAGATTGACTTCCAGGTTCGGGAGCCAGCATCGCCACTGTTTGGATCTTTACGGCACACGAGCACAGCTATCGAGCTCCAGATCACGCCCGAGTATCTCGGCCAGAATTGCCACCTAGTCTATCTGGCCCCACAGTGGAAAGAGATCCTGGAGTTTGATATGAGGTCTGACAATCAGTCTTCCAAAGTCAAAGACATCATCACTGGTGAGCGCTTCAAACGACCACTGGGTGGTTATGCAGGCGTGACAGGAGTTGGATCAAATGCGACGTGGCTAGGTTCACATCTAGCCATGTCCAACCTGTATGCGTACGGTCGATTAGCCTGGGACGCGTCCGTTGACCCGAAGATTATCCTGCAAGACTGGATTCGATTGACATTTGGCTTTGACACGGACGTGCTCGAAACCATCACCGATATGTCCATGAGGTCGTGGCCCGCATATGAAAACTACAGCGGCAATCTCGGCATTCAGACACTGACTGACATTTTGTACACACACTTTGGACCAAACCCTGCTTCGCAAGACGGGAATGGGTGGGGTCAATGGACGCGCGCCGATGCATTCAGCATTGGCATGGACCGCACCGTGAAGAACGGCACTGGCAATGCTGGACAATACCCGCCCGAGGTTGCTCAAATCTATGAGGATATTGAATCGACGCCGGACAATTTACTGCTCTGGTTCCATCACGTTCCGTATACACAGCGACTGAAATCCAACAAGACTGTGATTCAGCACTTCTACGACGCTCACTACGAAGGTGCTGGTGTTGCGCAGGAATTTGTCGGGCAATGGGAGTCCTTGAAGGGCAAGATCGACGATGAGCGATATGAACATGTATTGTTCAGGCAAACGTTCCAAGCTGGCCACTCGATAGTTTGGCGCGATGCGATCAACGAGTTCTACCACAATCTCTCACAGATAGCGGACGAGAACCAGCGCGTGGGCAATCACCCGTATCGCATTGAGGCGGAAGACATGATGCTCGAAGGTTTCATGACTTACGCCGTAAGCCCTTTTGAGACAGCTTCCGGCTATACGGCTATCGTCACCACATCAAACTCCACAACGGGCGTCGCGACCGCTAATGTCACATTCGCCTCGGGAACGTACGACGTCGCTGTCAATTACTACGATTTGATTGGAGGTAAAGCGAAGTACGAACTCGAGGTTGGCGATCGGATCGTGGGTAGCTGGGTGGGGGATCTGGAAGACAAGCTGGGACACGCGCCGAGCGTGTATCTCGATGGGCACTCCGCGACGCGCATCACGTTCAGAGGTGTTGAGGTTCGGCAAGGTGACGTGGTGCGACTCACTGCGCAAGCTGATGGGATAGAGCCCGCCCCGGTCGATTACCTCTCATTCTTGCCACCTGGCATTGTTGACTGAGTCGCTTGTGCAGCAAGTATGTACAAAAAAGAAAAAAAGATGCGAAATTGAAATTGATGTCCTCGCATTCGCAGACGCGACAATCTAATGTTTCCACTGCCCAGTCGGCTTCATTTCCACTACCGGGTTCCCCTGCGCGCCTCCCGCCCCGCCTAACCCACAATAGCGACTTGTCTCCTATTCCCCCAGGCATGGCAACACCATAGCCCAGTCGTTGGTGGCTTTCGGAGACGGGGAATTTCACCTGCACTCCCGCAATTTGAGGCAGGTCTCTTGCATTAGCCACCGCTCTGGAGACGCAAAGCCCAACAACACCCAACCCTCCCTCAAACAATGCGCAGCCTATTTTCTTCCTAAACTGAGCGTGATCTGTGTCTCCCCCCTTTCGCATCCAACGTCGTGGGCCACCAAGTAACCGGCGGGCACGCAAGAGCTTGAGATCCGTGCCGTACGCCAGTACTTCACGATGTGACAAGCTCGTCAGCTCCGACCAAGCCAACACACCTTCAAAATCGCCGACAGGCATCGCCGTCCCCAAAACAAACACGACAGCCACGACAGCCCGGCCACGCCCTCGACGTCTTTTTCAAAGTGCATATTAGCATCAACTTTGTCAACGCGCATCCAAACTAATGTCGCGTCCTAGTACAGTCGCTGCCCGATGCGCTGCGCTAGGAACTTCGATCGCCCAGGTAGCCGCTTCAGATGTTCAACTTTGCACCTACACGCGCTAACGCCCAAAACAGGTCATCCCGGATATCAGCAGCTTTGCTCGCAAATTCCGCGATGCTCGTCACGATCTGAACAAGATCAACAGTGATCTGCTCATGATCAGAACTGGGCTGAGTATTGCGCAAGACGACTTTTCGGCAAAGTGGGCCGAGCTGCCGGCGTCTCTGATCGATGCTGTCTCGCGAGTTTTGGACTCATGCGACGATACCTGTGAACGATTGCATAAGGCTTTTCTTAAGCTCTCATGTGGTAGTAAACCAAAAGAGGACTGGCGTGTGCTGAAGGACGGACCTTTGGTGAATCTACGGCATGATCTTGACGCCTCAAAGGTGGTGCTAGAGTTGTGTCTAGACTATGTCGCATTGTAAGTTGTTTGCACCAGGAACGACTGAGCATTGCACGAAAACTGACTCAGCTTAGACTTTGCCAACAGGATACGATGGATTCGTTACTTCAAAATTTTGTCAGCGATCTCATCACGCAAAGCGATGAATTGCTGAAGAAGACGGATACAGATGAGATTTACGTGAATCAAACAGCACGCGACAAACTGTCTTCACTATTACAGGCTGTCCGTCTGCTTCGATCATGTATCACAGCTATTAAACGGGACGGGCCGTCTGCATCACAACTAGCAAAGAGGACTACTCTCCCACGTCCAGATTCCCTAGAGCCCGCCCTTGGCGAGGAGCCTCGAAGCGGCAGGAAGAGCCCCCACGAACAAGCTTCAACACGAAACAGCGCTAATGACGGCATTGGTACATGGCTCGCCAACGTTCCCTCCTTTGAAGACGCGCAGACTCTCTCTTATTCCGCACTTGAACAAACATCTGTTCCCAGGCGACTTCTGATACCGCCATCCCGGGAAGACATCACCCCATCGCGCGGTACATTCTACACTGACGACGGCGCGGCATCCAGTCCTACACTAGTACCACCGGAATCTCGACTCAAAAAGTCATATAGCTGGTGTACTGATCTCTCAGGGAAGGCGAGTACTCGGCTACAACTTGCGTCTAGACACGCATCAAAACAAGCATCAAAATACACATCAACGCTGTCCAGCTCAGACGTCTCCATTTTTCATAGGAAGATCACCTCGGACCGGATAGCTGTGACGAAGGGCAAACGAAAAGAGTTGGAGCCGAACCAGAGGGCGGCGGTAGATCGAATCCTGTCAAACATACCAGCGGAAGCGACAGCTGCCGAAGTGGAGAGGGTGATATGGGAAGGCGCAAACCCCATGGCGACGCACCCAGAATTCGGATACTTCTTCATTCGAGTAGCGTACGAAATGTCGCCAGACATTCTTACCCTTCTCTTGGATTTCGGGGCTGACATTACTCGTGTCAATCCAGCACCATCGTCGTACTACTCCGCAATGCATGCCGCAACATTAGGACGGCAGCTCGCCACTGTCCGTTACCTTGCTTCCTTGGGTCACTCGATCGACAACCCTGATCATGATGGAGAAACGCCACTTCATCTTGCTTGCAGGACGCCTGGTGCGTCTGCGATAGCAAAGTACCTTGTTGAAGCTGGTGTGGACGTGAACTTTGAGGCGAAGAATGGACGTACGCCACTACAGTCTGCCCTCAAAGCGGTGAGACTTGAAGGCAAGGAGAGAAGCATGTTGATTGAGCTTCTGCAGACACATGGGGCTGAGGGTGAAGTGAAGAGGGATTTGGACTGTGGGAGGGGTAACGAGAAGGGAAGACATGTGCTTGGATTGACATGAATTCCAGGTTGATCAGGACAAAATGAAAGTTCCCTTGTTTCTGCTTCCGGCGGCGATGATTACTTCTCTCATTTTCGAGCCTCGCGCCATATCTGAAATAGTGGAATTGTCATCTGGTTCCGCTTTGTACTCGCCGGGTCTCTCCAGGCGTTGTTATAATATGGTGGTCAACTGAGAATGGCGAAATTGGAAAAGATACCCAAATTATTGTATTATAATCATAATCGATGATGTTGAATCCCTCTAAAATGAACCCTGATACTGCTTAATACTACATCCAGCATGTCGTTAATCTGGAAGGTACTCTGGATGCCGAAACGTCTCTAGCCGCCGCTAACTTATCGTTGAGGTCCACTCTTCGTCGGCCACCTCCGCTACCAAGGACTCACTCACCTCAACTTCCCAGCCATCTCCAAACTCTTGCAGCACACATTGCTCCTTACGAGGCGTATTATGACCAATATGGGGAACGCATACAAGATGTGGGTGGAAGGAAGAGAGGTGGAAGGTCGAGCGGAGCAGTCAGTTAGCGGGACCCATCATTCGTGACCCACCCCAATTGCTAACAGCATCACAGGCTCGCTGTTGAAGACCCCGCGACTGGGGAGGTCTTCGCGCACTGTCATGCTGCATCTGCGGCTGATGTCGAGGATGTTGTTCAAACTGCACACAAAGTCTTCAAATCGGGTGTGTGGTCGAAAGCCCCGCGCCATGTGCGTGCGGACACGCTCGACCGAATCGCAGAACTTCTGACCAAGAATCTCCCAAGACTTATCGCGCTGGAGGTACAGCAGACCGGACGCGCTATCCGTGAGATGAATGCCCAAGTTCCGACTCTTACGAAATGGTTCAAATATTACGCCGCGTTGATACGAACCGAAGAGCGCTCTGTCCTGCCAACCGTCGGTAAACTACACAATTGGGTTGACCGTAAGCCGCTCGGTGTAGTCGCGCAAATTACGCCGTTCAACCACCCAATGTTGATTGCTGTCAAGAAGATCGCACCCGCATTAGCCGCGGGCAACTCCATTGTGCTGAAACCAAGCGAGCTGACGCCGCTCACCAGCATTGAGCTTGGCAAGCTTCTGAAAGAGGCCGGCTTGCCCGACGGCGTCTTTTCAGTGTTGCCAGGCGACGGCATCACGACCGGAAAGGCTCTTGTGGAGCATCCGCTCATCAAGAAAGTCGATGTTACTGGCGGCACACCAGCAGGACGCGCCATTGGCGCCATCGCAGGACGCAACCTGGCACATTACACCGCCGAACTTGGTGGCAAGGCTCCGCTGATCGTGTTTGAAAAAGCGCACATGGATCTTGCAATCAACGGCATTGTGTTCGCAAGCTTCATAGCTAGTGGCCAGACATGTGTGGCAGCGACGCGTATCATCGTGCAGAACAACATCATCGACCAGGTAGTGGAGAAGCTGAAAGCCAAGGTGCAGAGCATTGAGAGGCGGATGGGCTCACCGAAGAATGTGGAGTCTATGATGGGTCCCCTCATATCGGCGAAACAGCTCAGCAACGTTGAGACACTAGTCAACGACGCAAAGGATGCAGGTGTGACGGTTGTCACAGGTGGCCAACGGATGACTCACAAATCTTCACTGGACGATACCGACTTCTCGAAAGGCTACTTCTATCCACCAACAATACTGACGGATAGCACTACAAAGAAGATTGTCGATACGCGCATATGGAAGGAAGAGGCCTTCGGTCCCGTCATTGTCGTCGTAGGCTTTGACACTGAAGAAGAGGCCCTTGAGCTTGCGAACGATAGCGAATTCGGTCTAGGCGCAGCCATCTGGACGCAAGATCTTTCGCAAGCTTTCCGCGTGTCAGAGAGCATCGAGAGTGGCATCTGCTGGGTCAACACGCATCATCGTAACGACCCAAGCTCTCCGTGGGGTGGCATCAAGAGCTCAGGAGTGGGTAGCGAGAACGGTATCGACGCTTACAATGCATATACAACATCGAAGAGTACGATTATAAACTATGCGACGGCTGATGAAGGGCTGGCTAGCGATGACTGGTTCAGGGAGGGCGCTAGTGAGGTTAGATATGGATGAGAGATATCGTGTCTCGATGTAGTGAAAGAGAGGCCGCTATCACGCGAGGCGTCATGTTTCGTAGAAAGAGCTATTCTTGAATGTCTCGTGTGCTCTAAGATAAACACAGTGAAAGGACACAACAATCTGTGACTGAGACCTGGTGGGAACTGGTGTTTTCGCTGACGGGGGTCTTGCCAATGACCTAGGCCAGTGAGAGAGAAGGTTCGTGACTATAATTGGTCACTCTATATGCTAACTATACCCTACCAGACCTTATGCTGATCTACTCTTCTCTCAACCCTAAGTATTCTGCTAAACTAGTGTCTAGATCTTCAACTCTATCGTCCGGTCATGTCGACCACAAATCAAGATGCGCCAGCGTATGCACCATCCGGAAGTCAAGGAAAGGTTCACAAGTCTAATTCATCTCTGACTCTCTCTTCCATTTCAAAATCCAGATCTACTGCCATAACCCCAACTGTATCAAGAGAGCGAGGCACAGACCCTGATGCTGCTTGGACGGCCAGGTCATGGGTAGGAAGATCTAACAAGGGCAACATGTTTAGAGCACTACAAAAGGCGGGCGAAGACGTCAGTGTGTATGGCAATGCGCCTTGGAAAGACTTCACGGCAATGGACTTGACTCAGGCTTTGGTCGCCAGTCGCAATAAGCGCATCGATCAAGGACTCATCGAAGGAACACCAATCATAGGTGGTGACTTTGAGCGAAAGCCGCGATCCATCAGCTCCACCAAAAAGAAAGATATCCTCCGTATACACACAGCTCCAGCGAAGGAGCCCGAACCGATCTCGAAACGCCAACTTCTGTTCGTTTTAAGGAGCCTCCGTTCACACCTTAAAATGATCAAGAATGCTGCCATTAACGAGGCAGAAGCCTCACAGCACGGCAGCCCACAAGCGGGAGTAGATGACACAAATGCATTTGTCAACCCTTACCCAGAGCTGTGCAGCACACCCGGGTTTGAGCTTGAAGGGGCACCTCCCACAGGTTACAGGATCATCTTGGACAGTTCCTCGAAGCCTATAATCTCAGGGAAAGCCCAAATGCTGGTCCGCACGGTCTTGCACCATCAACACGAACTCATCTATTACCACCAGCAGTGCGGAGAAACCGACGGTGACAGGAAACACTACTTGGCGTGCCTAAAAGAAGTCTACTATATCCAAAGGTCTGAGCTGTGGCGAGAGATGATGAAGAGCGTAAGTGTTGATATTGATAGTGAACTCGGAAAGCAGGTGGAGGGTATTGTCAACGACACTTTTGTCAATGTAGATGATCTGTAGAGGGACCTCGGGATGGTTGACTTTGGGAAGGCCGCGACGAATGTTTGATAGTATTAGTGTGTGTAATGAGTCTTGTTCTCAGAAGCTAGCGCCTAGGTGTTGCGAGCGGGAGTGCTTTGGCGCGTGCCATATGGAACGGAGGGGCAAACCTTGGAAGTCCGGAGATGGCTGAGGTCACGTGGGGAAGATTGCATCGGGGATGGGGGGTGACGTCATCGCTTCGGCGAAACTTTGCGACGCGTCGCAACCGGCGGCCGCAATACCACCACCCAGCCACAATCTCAACAGCTGTCTCCAGTGCACACTCCTCGTCCCAAACTACACGTCTTGTTCAAAGGCTACGATCAGTATCGGTAGCATGAAGCGCCTAATGCTCGACCAACTGGCCATGCAGCGGCCTACCAGGGGTGGCAGCCAGAGCGGTTCAGGGCTCACTCTCTCCAACACTGCAAGCATGGAAAAGGATCGAGCTCGATAACAGACTTTGGAACAAATGTTATACACCTTGTCATGGCTGACTACTAATACTACAACAAAACAGCTGTACAGAAGCAAACGTTCCTCCTCTCGTCCATAAGCCCCGAGCCTGCGATCGAATGTGCTCCCACGGTCGATTCGATTGACACGCGTCAAATGCTGTACTACTCATCATCTAGAGCGAATTTTTCGTCATCAGCATCGCTCAAGCTCCACAGCATCTTGTCCTCCTCAGCGCGACGCTCGTCCTCGGCATCCAACTCACGATCGCCAATCTTGCTTGGGTACCCAGGTGCCAGAAGCTTGTCGAACAGAATCCGCCCACCGACCGCAACATCGTCACTTGCCTTGGCTCGCGAGACAGCACGCTGCTCTTCGTGGTCGAGGTTGTCGGTAATAAATGCAGGCAGGGGTGGGATGTAGTGCCTGAACTGATGGGTACACCGACTAGTCTGATGGCCAAAGCGATATTGCTTGCTGCGGAAGCGCTTATTCTCAGGACCAGGTGCTTTCGCGCAAATGTTGCACTCGATCGTCTCCTTTACAGGGCACGCGTCGGCGTCATGCACGTCTGCCTTCTCGCAGTACCAACAAAACTGAGCTGTGCCCCACGTCTGAGGCGGGATAGACTTCTTCTCCTCAGCAAGATCGGTCCAGATGTCGTTGATGGAACGGTCGGCGATGGTGCAGTCCGACGGGAATTGATTGCCAGGCGTACCCGGAAACAAAACTGGGAAGAGGACAACGAGAAAGAACAGTGTTGTCTCATAAACCGCATCATTTGAGCTGTTGTGTAGCCAGATGTTGCTTGTATCGATTTGGAACCCACGAAGAAGCTCGACGAACCTCGGCAAGCTCTCACCGCGTTCTTTGTCTGGGACAGCGACGATACCGGCGTGGCTCGCCAGTGTCCCAAGCGATCGGATCGTGAGAACGATGCTGTCAAGCTTAGCCGTGTTAAGGTTCCATTGCTCCTTCAGTTGGCGCTCATCATTGTTCAGGCCTTGACCGAAGAAGATTACTGGTCTCTTTGACCCATCGTCGCAGCGCTGGTTATCGAGGAACTGGATCAGGACTGCTTGGGCCTCAGATTTCGTAACGAAACGCGCTTGACAAAACCTTGGGTTCAGCTCGGTATCACCGAAAGGGATACCAAACTTGTCTTTCCCCTTGTTCCGCATGTGACACGTCTCCACGATGCGTAGGTGATGTACCGCAAAGTTTCGAATGAGATCCTCGAAATCGCTTGGCCTCTTGCAGCCACGAAGCTTCTTCATTGGGAAGACGACGAGACCACCCTCGTTGATTATCTCCATTGGCTTGTCGGGAGGTTGGTTGTACCATTCGAGGTCTAGACAAACTCCCAGCGTGTTCTCCCACTTTGCCGGTGCGCCTGGGATTGGAGTAGTGCTAAAGCTGCGGACGAGGTCAAGAGCTTTGCGACCCTTGCAGAATTCCTTGACACCCTCAAGAGTGTTGGGATATATCGTAGTGGTCGAAGCCATATTGTGTACTCGTTTTGTACGACTTTAACAGTTAGCCTAGGTCGAAGAATGAAGAGAGCCTTTCTTTACCTGTATATATCCGGAGATGGGGAACTGGTACTTCAAGGATTCCGATCTGACGATTCGATCCAGGTGACCCGACTTACGCGTTTCGATGTAATGTCTTTCGATCGAGGAGTTGAGTTGAGCTTCGCCACGATGGCCTTTTGGAGCAGGAACCAGTATTTATATATTGACAGAGGAGAGTAGCCAGGCAACTAGCGCGTGAAATGCAGCATGTAGCCCCCAGACAACAGAAAATATATTCATTGCCCCCGTTGACTGAGTTACTGGGCCGACACAGAGTGCCGAAGATGGGCTTGCAAAGTCAGTGTCAACATCGAGCAACTATATACCGAAAGCATTCAAGCAGCCAGCAAACCAGCTATTCGCCTGGTCATACCTGCAAGCCAAAGGCTAGATGATGACAAGCTTTGGGTAGACTGGACAATTGGCTCTTGCTACTGGTTGTATGTCTGCGAATGGAAATGGTGTTTAAAAACATTCCTACAGCTGAAGGGTTTCATAATTTTTATGAGTGCTGTCAACTGGTCTTCTTGCAAGCATGACTAACGTAAATTCATCCCCCGTAGACTTGCCAAGCTGCCTTATGCGTCCACATGCTAAGGCTCAACCAACTTCTCCAAGACCTCATTCATGGCCCTGTCCGCCTCGCCCATCCTAGCTTCGTGATCATCTCCGGGAAGCTGCCATGAGAGACTGTTCTGTAACCGTTCCCAAAACTCCAAGTAATCTCTCATCGGCCCCTCTAGCACGGTCTCAACCTCATCCGCCGGAGTCTCAGCGCTGACCTGGCGAAGTTGTGCTGAGATATCAAGGAGGAGCCGGATCATGTGTTGAGAATACAGGTCGATCATGATAGGCGGAGCAGAGAGAGCTAATGCCGCCGGCTCGTGGCGCGCACCGAATCGGTCTGGGTCGAGAGACAGATCCTTCTCCTTGAGTATGTAGTTCTTGGCCAGGCTGAGCTTGTTGCGCAGCATCCCATAGTATTTCACCTCTTCCTCGGGACCAAAGTTGGAAAAGTCAGGTGCCTCGTTGGTGTTGGCGTCGACGAGCGTTGCGACAGTGAGCTTTAGGTGCTTGAACCCGTTGTCTTGCTGGTTGAATGCGACTCTTGAATCGGTGTTGCGGCCACCCCCAACCTGACCGGAAACCCAATGACGGCGGAAGTCATCGACAGGGAAGGCGAGTGCGGTTTTGTCTTTATCGTTGACGCCGATCTTGCGCGTGCGTACTGGCATTTTGGGTGTAGCTGGGGTTCAAAATTGCGGTCGCGGTAGGAGAATGAGAGGGATCAAATGATTGAATGATTTCACGATTGCAATCTCGCCGTGGAAGTGGCTAGAGAGCGGGGGTGCACAAAGGCAACATTAAGGCAACGAGGGGAGTGTTTGGTGCGGGTCTTGAAGTGTTGCTGAGCACGGGCCGCGAGTCGCATTCACTATCGTATCGTCATAAGTTCCTCTTACCAAGCAACTAGTAGAGCTACAGACGGGTCACAGTGAATTTACTACTCCGTGCGCTCTTGACCTAGAACAAATCATCTAGGTAGTCTGAGCTTTCCAAGCACCCAATATGGACATCTATGCCACCATGGGTATGTCCTGCCTCTAATATCTTTTCCGCTTCCTCCAAAGCAGACTCGGTGGCATCACTTAATTGCCTGGTTTCATTGTCATACGCGACCACCTCCATCCGTTGCGGATCATAATGTCCTTTGTGGTAGTAGCTGATACCACTCTTACGAAGACGTCTTAGTAGACCAACTAGTGCCATGGTCTCTCCTTCGATGATCATAGGGAAAGTTGGAGTTTCGAAAATGCGGATCTTGTATCGAAATTCGTCCTTTACTGGGTTGCATGCTTCCATCAATCCATCGCCCTTTCGATCTTCAATTTCGTCGGGATCCGTGATGCACCAGCTACCATCTTCATAAGGATCGTAAGCGATGTGCGAAAGCTCCCACATCATCAGCTTGATAGCTTGCGCGCTGATATACACATGCGGCTCACAGGACTGTCGAGCGACCGATGGCGGCGACTGAAAGATGATCCGTGAGGGTCTCCACGACGCCATACAAATGTTGAAGGATTCTTTCGACTTTGGGTCTTGGAATATCCTTCTCTTCTCTCTAGCGTAGCGGAAGATTTCACGACCAATCTGTCGACTGTATATGAACGCAGCTTGCTGTGCGAAGGCGTTGGCAAAATCTTCCCTTGTCATCATTCGCGCCATTTTAGCGTTCCTGCATGTGCACGGCGAATCGACGAGAGTGTTGGAGTTTGCTGTGTTGTAGACTTCGTGAAGTTCCTTTTGTGGGTTGTCTTGGTGCCAATCAGGCTGGTTTTCATCCTCATGGGTATGCTTGCGTTTCAGACCTGCGACGGGGGGCGGGATATATGAGTGCGATTTTGGTTCGTCGTGGGATTCGGGTTCATCATGCGATTCTGGTTCATCGTGCGCAAACTCTGGAACACCATGTGGTGTCGCATCCGATGGAACAAAGTCTTCAGTTTCCTTGGGGTCCGCATCCGCTGTGTCGTCATCGTTCGCTAGAATGGGGTCATAGCTATCTTCTTTCCTTACTTCTGGTACTTCCTCACTGGGAAATGAATGTAGTGCTGTAGAAGCTGCAAGATCCAGATTCTTCTCCTTCCGTACTTTGACGTGAGCCAGTAGAGCCTCGATTATTGCATCTGCGGATGTCTTCGGGGCCTGTAGAGATTTGATGTCGTACCCATCGTCCTTTAGCAACTTCAATCGTTCGATGTTGTTGGCTTTCTGCTTCCACGTCTTTTTATCCCAGACTTTGTCCAAGCTCAGCCCCTTGTGAGCGATGCCTTTACATGCTTTCTCTTCCCAGATATGATCTTCTGACGAGAGTTTCGCGCATGGATGTGTTTGTGAGATGGTAGGAGCCGCCTTAGGTGGGTCAGTGGCTGGTACAGGCAGACTGCGGGCGAGAACATCGGAGTGCAAACTTATCGGCGTTAAAGGTAAAGGAGGCGCGAGGTGCTCGGGGCTGTTTGCTTCCTGGGTGCTACAGACATCATTTCTCGCGCGCATCCGCTCAATGATGTCTTCATCTGGGTGTTGATAGTTTGAACCATTGGCAAGCGCTTGCGCACGGCAAAGCTGATCGATGGTGAGATCCTTCGGCCTACTGTTTTCCGTATCCCACGCATGGTTGATACAGCGAGGCTCAAAGGCGACAAAGCGATTAGTCTTTTGTGAACGCTGGTGAATCCTCCTATCGATGCAATGCATCTTATACGAAGCAAGTCTTATGACGGTGATTAGTGTCTCGTAAAAGTGCAAGAATAGTTTTCGGTACCGGTTTGCTATACAAGTACTGTTTAGCACTTCTCCAAACCAACGTACTTGGATGAAACTGGGTGGTTCTTCCGTGTAGGACAAGAAGGCCAGCCAAAGAAGTAGAGCCGAATGGTTGTGCAGGGAGTGAGAGATCACCGGGGGGTATAGTCCGCGCCCGTAGTTATACAGAAAGCAGGTACATCTTGTGGGGCACATCGCTTTCCCTCCACGTCGTGTGACATAGTCTTTGGCGCGTGTGAGTGACGCTGGATAGCTTTCACCCGGTTGAATCGCCACGATGTTCGTGAAGAAAGCTGGTTGAGAAGCGGATCGAAGAAGACCAGTAGGGCGTAGCTGCAGGCCGAGCTCTGGTATGTAGCGTGTGTGAAAGATCAATAGTAAAGCCGCCGTAGTGAATATACCGGATCCATATCCTTATACTAACAGTCAGACGCATTGTGGAGTGCAGTAGCAAACGAAGGAAGCTCCAAGTGAAATGCACCGTTCTAGACTGGACGACAGAGTTAAATGTATGTCGTGAGTAAGATGTAGCAGCCTTTTGTTAGCGAGGCCATATTGTACTGAGTTCATCGCGACGAACAAACTCTGATGTTTCAAGATTCCGAGCTCGCAAAGCAAACCTTCTCATGTGAGTAACACCCACCTAGAGTCGGGAAGCTTCCGGAAAGGCATTGATAAAATGAGATAGGACTCTAGTTCTCGTGGCCACGCTTGAGGCTCGAGCCGCCATAGTGGAACGAGATGACAATAAGACCGCTTGTTCGACGTCACGGGTGACAGAACCATTAAAAAGATGCGCAGCAGAGATCCCTGGAAGGAGCAGACTGCTCGTTCGTCGTTGAAGGTAGAGTGTTGGAGTAAGCACGCGTCCGATGAATTCTGCAGTAGTGCTGCTCTGGCCAAGGACTGACGCGTTATTCGGGCAAGCAGCTAAGGGGCCTCATCACATATTCCAGTCGCAGTGTAACCGAACATTGGCTTTTCTTCGCGGAGCATAGTTTCCGAGATGGCGCTGATGGCGCTGATGGTGGAGGTGATTGAATTCGGTGGGTGTGACAGATACGAAGTCTGGGCGGGCGAACTTCGGAACCGAGCGCGTGAGCGACGTGACACACTAACTTTAGTGGCGTCATTCACCCAACCTCCTTCAATTCAAACACGTCTTTCCTCCTGACATCATTCCTTTCAGTCTGACTGCCCTACTCTAGTCTCATAGAGACATCGCTGAATGGATATTTAGTCCATGTCTCGCTTTCACTTAACGTGTCTTCCGGACCCCAGCTTCGACCATCTCACGCCGTCCATTCGCGACAATATGCTTCGCGACCTTTCTGAGCCCATTCGACACGTACATGCTTACTTGTCGATTCGTTCTGCATTCTCTACATCGCGTTCGCTCCCAATAAGGTGTACATCCATCGCGCCATTACCTCCACGCTCACCGTCTCCTCGTGTCGGCCATCGTGTCATCTTGTTCAATGTCATCAGTTACATGGTCATTCCTGTATATCGAAGATACCTTCAACGCGAGTAGACGTTCGATCGATCTTTGGTGCCGCTTATGCGCGCATCCGTGTGTATTCATGTCTCCATCCGTTTGTTTTCGCGCTGTCACGTGACAAGGCGCTTGCTGCCTCCAGGGCAGGCTGCTTGCTATTGGCTGTCCGTGCTAGCACAATCACCTCTATCAGCACAATCAGCTGTACCGATACTACATTGTTGTAAACACCGACCCCGTCCTCCCCTCGCTGCAGCGGACTGGCAATGGCCGCGCCTGGCAGCAACCGCTATGCGATGTTCGCTAGTGCAGACAGCAGCGAAACTCCCGTCCGCAGTCCCGCTATTGACCATTCTCAAAACCCATTCCTCAACCAGATTGCCGATGACTCAATGCCATGGCAAGAGGTCAAGAAGCGCGGCGCTCCTGCAGTACAGCCGGCACCACCGGTTCGACGCTCTCCGCAGGTGCTGAATGACCGCACCAAGGCTATCCTCAACCGCCCACGCGCCCAGCAAGGGCAAGATCGCATCCTCTCGGGCTCAACGGACAACACACCCGAAAAAGCATACGATCCACACGAGAACTGGTGTGGCGTCTGCTCGTACAAGTTCGCCAACAAAGCTGCACTGCTCAGTCATATTAAGCAGAGCGTCGGACACGAAAACTATTGCAACCTCTGCAAGCGCGTCTTCGTGGATCGCAATGGTCTCAAAAACCACGTCGACAATGCAGCGAACCATGAAGTTCATTGCAACCTTTGTCTCTCCGCTTTCAAGGACGACTGGGCTCTCAAGAACCACTTCGAGAATAACTACAGCGTCGGCCATGAGTGGGTGTGTCTTACTTGCCTGCTCGGCTTCAACGCTCGCGCTGAGTTGGAGCGACATCTTCAAACCGCTGCGAAGCATACGTGGTGCGGAACATGCCAGCGCCGATTTCGCAATCAGGATGAACGGGATGCACATTGGGAACAGACGAACAGTAAGTGGTCTGAGAGATTCTAAGTTGCGAGCTCGTGTCTTTTTGCCTGGTCAGAGCGTTCATTCTCTTGTTCAACGATAACTTCACCTTAAGGACTTGACTGACCAAGGTAAGGACATAAGCATTGCTTACAACCAGGTTGCGACTTCGATGGGCCGGACGAGTCCACGCTTGCACGGCATCTCAAGTGTGATCACTTCCAGTGCGAAGGCTGCAAGCGCATACTACCGAGCTTTACCAAGCTTACGCAACACTACGAGAGCTGTGCATTCGCACTTGCCTGCCCCCAATGCGACGAGCACTGTGCTGGAAAGACCCAACTGGGTATTCACCTCGAGAACTGTTTCCTTTGCGAGGAATGTGGCTTCCACACTCACCACGAGGGCAACTACCACATTGTGAGTGATCTGCCACGCGATCAACTCGCGACTGCCACGCTGACAACACACCAGCACATGACTAAGCACAGGTCCGCTGACATTGGCTGTTGGGCCTGCGACGCACCGATGCGCACCTACTCCAGTCTGATCAATCACTTGGAGTCAGGCAAGTGCCCCAACTTCAACGACCCGGCACTTCTTACGCGCTGTCTTGGAAAGTGGTGGTACTCGGCGCTTTACATGGATCTCGATATGCATGCGTCCATTCGCATAGGCCGCGTCGATATCCGCGAAGTACAGCGTTGGTCGGCAGCTGGTGACCTTCACCCTTTCGTGTGTCGCGACGAGGGATGTGGAAAGGTCTTTGGTCATCTGAGTTCGCTGGTATTGCACTGTGAGAGTCAGGCTTGCGGCTGGGGTGTCGATCGCCTGAACATGCCTGGGCTGGAGAAGGAGTTCAAGCACACGTGTCTTCGGAGGGACAGTGCCACTGCCTAGGAGCGAGTGCAACCTCCGATGGTAGTAGAGATGCTCGAGGATCGACCTGAAACGCGGAGGACAGTCATTCGTCCTGTCTCATCCATGATGCTTGAGCTACGCCAGAATATGCTCATTGAACATGCACGGCTCAGTCATCTAGCTTATAACCTGCCATGACGAGTTCGTTGACCCACGTTTCATGACTGTGTTGACTCGTTCAAAGTGTATCTAACCACCACATCAGGCGCACTAGTGCATCGGTCACTATACAGCCAGAAGATGCGAACTAGAAACCCAGCTGGCTATAGTTATAGTATTACATATGAGCTCATTTGACTCCTCTCCCAACCCTTGGTGTACTTCATGACACATCTCACGCGTAACCTTCTGTCATCACCTTGTCAATGTCCTACCGCCTCCGCTCACCCGTCTCGCTACCTTTGCCCTCTAGACGCCCAGTGATCTTTTTCTCGAACTCATCAGCATGAAGGGTTCTACCTGTCTTGTCCCTGAATCGCCAGCTGACCCTATTCCATACCATTGAGCAATCTTGTTGTAAGATGCGAGCGACTAGACGCAAGTCATCGGCGGAGAAAGTATCGTCGGGTTTTACTTCGAGTTCGAGAGGACGAGCGGCGATAGGACGGGCGTTGTTGTTGTTGTTGTTGTTGTTGCCGTTGCTGGTATTGGGCTGAGCGGGCGCCCGCGGAGGCATTTGGTTTGAAGGGACTTTCTGCCTTGAAGCTTTCGCACCTCCGGCACCGCCGCCGGTGTTGTTTTTGTGGTTGTTGTTCGTCCCTTTAATCCAGTCGTTTCCACCGATATTGTCCCAGCTCGCGGCAGCATCATTCGCGACGTCTCCACCACCCGTAGTGGCGCCAGTGCCCCATCCAACTTGGGTTTCCCAAGCATTCGTACCAGTGCCTGCAGCATTTGCCCCAGTGAAGTCCCAGTCTGCAGTACCGCCCCATACATCGGGTGCTTTGTCCCCAGAATTGTTCTTGTCACCAGACTCGTCTTTGCTGTTACCAGTATCTTCTCCAAACGTGAGACCCAATAAACCGCCATCATCCCCCGTTTCCTCATCCTTCTTCTCTTCTTTCTTCGTGTCATCCTTGTTGTTTCCATCATGTTGATCTGTTTTCTTCCCCTTCTTTCCCTTCTTGCCTCCACCCCCTTGGTTGACCTCGTTGGCCTTGTATCCCTTCGGTTGGATCTCTTTGAAACGGTCGATGCAATCTTGCTTTGTCTTACCACCAATTTCTTCGCCCATCTGAGCCCAACTTTTCGAAGTTTTAGTTTTCAGCTGTATCAGCTTTTCATCTTGCTCTTTAGTCCATCCGTTTGACTCTCCATCCTTCTTGTCATTCTCTTCTGGGACTGTGTTGTTGTCCGGGACAGTCGTAGCCTCCCAAGGTGCTGCGGGTTCGTCTTTCTTCTCTTTGTTGTCGTCGCCACCTGTAGCATCTGGAGTAGTACCCCAGGTAGCTGCTAATGGATCGTTTGTGTCATTACCCGATTCCTGTACGACCCATCCATCACCTTTGTTACTTGAGGCCTTCTTCGAGCTCGACTTCTTCGATTCGCTCTTTGCGTTGGCGTCACCCCACCCATGGTTACCCCACAAGTTATCTCCATCAGTGGCGGGCTTAGTCGAAGCTGCTTTCTTTGGGCTACTCTTCGCGCCTACTGGCTCCTTTGCCGGCCGTTGTTCAGAAGGTACCTTCGCGAGGCTGGCTGCAGTAAGTCGTGGTTTGCCGGTGCCTGTGAGTCTGCCTTTTCGTCCGTCGCTCGCGGTCCACTCTACGATGCGACCAGGAGTAGACATCTGATGGTAATTAGCTTACAAGATTCGTCATGGTATTCAATGGGGGCAGTCACTATGTTAGCAGGTTGGCCGGGCTTCCTAGTTTGCGGCGGAGGCGGAGGTGCGGGTGGCTTTACTTCCTTGTACGGCTTGTCACTAAAGCCTAGGATGTATGCCATGGACACTCTACGCGGAGCGCCATTTACATCCGTCATCCCGATAGCTTGGAGGTGCAAGCGCTGAGTTCGAAGTGAGGGCGTTGACACCGCTCGCAAGAAAGGACGCGGTCCGTAAGCGACGGCGACGAAAACGCCGAGCGGAGACGAGCAGGAATTGAAGTGAATAAAGCAAGCTGGGGTTGAGCGCACAAGAAAGACGTGCTGTTGTTGCGGGGACAAGTGTGGGAGCGGACTGACGATGGTCTTGGCGGCAAACAGATCTGTTCAGAACCTCTAAATTTGGACGGCAGAAGAGAAGGGTACATGGCAGAACGATAACAGAATCAGAAGAAAGGACGTCATCCTAAGATCTACGCGCACAGAAGAAAGGAAGTGGACGACGAAGAGGATATTTCATGAGAGATACATGGGTGTTACCTTCCGCCTCAACTCGTTGACGTAGATATCCAGGCTACCAGCGATCTGAGCTACTGAATCACGACACGTCATCTCCATAGTCCTCAGCTGTACCTTGAAGTTCTGTAGTAGCGCATTGTGGTAATCGTGCGAGACCCTCAAGGGTAGCGGATGTCAGCGCACGCAGACTGCACATCGAATCGCGAAATTGTCATGTCATCTACTGGTTCCTAACAGATTGGAACAAACGCTGCATCGCATCCAGAATTCACTAGGAAGGCTGTGAACGAAAAACAATATTGCGGGGTGTAGGACAGAGCAGGACGCCGTTCGAAGGAAGTTGAGACGGAGCCGTGGCTGACTAATCTGAACGCTAACGTTCTGGGCCCTTGCATTGCGGGCAAGCTGGCATCTCCGTGTACGTAGCTTGGCGCTCGACGAAACACCGAATTCGACACGACAGAGCAGCATCACCATACACCCGCCATGCTGTTCCCATCTCTCGCCATGCTCGCTGCGGCGAGCAGCTTGCTGTCATTCGCGACGGCGCACAACATCCAAATGAAGGCCCACCAGCGCGAATGCTTCCACGAGTCCCTCCACAAGGACGACAAGATGACAGTCACGTTCCAAGTCGGCGACCGGGAGTTTGGCGGCAGCGGAAACTTGGAGATCGATTTCTGGGTGCGTCAATGAGACTCCAATTCTGCCTCCAAACAACATAGCTGACTATTTATCCACAGATCGAGACGCCCTCTCGAAGCTACCAAGTCCACGAACGCGGCGTATCCTCCGGCGACCACTCCTTCGACGCCAAAGAAGACGGCAAATACACATACTGCTTCAACAACGAGCACTGGGGCGCGAACACGAAGGAGGTCTCGTTCAATGTGCACGGCATTGTCTATGTCCCTGAATCGGAAGCCCCCCAAGACCCATTGGAGAAGGAGGGTGAGGAACTACACTGGATAGTTGGGAGAGGACAGTGCTGACAGAAACAGTGCGAACAATGTCGGAACTTGTTTCCCAGGTCAAGGACGAGCAGAGCTACATCATCGTGCGCGAGCGCGTACACAGGAATACTGCTGAGAGCACGAACGCGCGCATCAAGTGGTGGAGCATCTTCCAGTTGATGGTACTCATCGGTCAGGGGTTCTTCCAGGTGTGGTGGCTCAAACGGTTCTTTGAGGTAACCAACACCCGTGCATCCTATCATCATTCCAACAGTACTCAACTAATCCCGTCTACAGGTCAAGCGTGTTGTTTAGCTTTCCCTCTTCTTTCTCACGAGCTGCGTGTGGCGCAACATCTCTAGTTTTTGCCGCTAGTCTACGCACTTTGTCTCGATTCTTCTGGCGTTGGAAGCGTTGAATAAGCACAGGAAAAGGCGGGAGTATGGTGGTTACTTTATGACTCATCAGCGAGATCTGGGTAAGATTACATTTTCATATGCAGAGTTCATCCAGTTCGCTCTATGTTCCACGGGTCTGCTTCTGCCTACGAAGCTTGGCACGTATTGATTCGACTAAAATCTGGTTTGGGTCAGCTGATTCGAAGACAGCCTGGCACCTTGAGAAGAAGATCATTCTAGTGGTTGATGAAGACAGGTTCCGTGAATGTTAGTGTGGTTAGCCCCCCTCAACGTATTACTGAATCATTCACCACTATTGCTTCCATCTGCGGCATTTCTATATAAAGGTGCTCATATATCACTTCATGTTGATAAACTTCTATCTCTACCTCGATGTTCCCAGCTCGTTTTTCAACCCTTCGTTTGTCATTAATCTCCTGATCCATCTCATTACGTCAACAACAGAACAGTCAGGCAGCGACGTTGCAACCTCAACGTGGTCAATCCGCCACTTTGTGCGCGTTTCTATCCGCAGTTGTCGGGTGAAGGCGGGAGACACGTCGCGAATTGGCACTGTCGGTGTACTCCCTTGTGTTGTCGGGGTAGCGTGCCTTCTATCACTGGTCGCTGCTGCCTCCCATACGACCGTCACCACGAGCAACGGCAGTATAAATAGTCAACAACCGCCGCCCGCCTCCTTCAACACCAAATATGAGCCTCTCGATTCAACCTGCTGCAAGCACACCAGATGAACCCTCCTCAACATGGCGCGCCTTCCGGCTGGCCTCAGGCTATGAGCTTGGATGACGTGCATGACGCTGCATCCACGCGCAAAAACTCGATGGCTACCTTTGGCGCTCCCTCTCCACAAATAACTGCGGCAAGTACTTTCATCTCAACTCCTCTTTCCCCTGAGCCCGAAATTCTCCACCAGCCGCAACATCGGTACAACGTGCCTGTACCACATTGGGCGAACAGGCAACGACCACCTACTCCGCCCCTTCACCACCTCGACGATGTGCGCCAACATCATCCTGCGAAACCATTGCGAGGCCCTTCAGAGTATACATCGCCTTACAGCACATTTGCACCAGCATACATTCATCCCTCAGTATCGAACATCCAGGGTTGTCTGTCACAACAAACTGTCGCTCCACCCCCTCGATTTCATCCATCTGCCAATATTCTGCAACCGTCGCCTCAGCAGCAGATATTCGACTCCCAACCTGCTCAGGGTAAAGTAGCCGCCACGAATAGCTCTCAAGATATCTTGCTAACTTATTACTAGTATGTATCCCTTGCTATCACGCCAAACTAGGGAAAATCTGAACAGGTCTGGAGCCTACATCGACGTTAGGGCACCTACCTTGCAGGTTTCCATGCTGATGTAGGCTGCAGGCCTGTCCAGTTTTTCCCTTGATCTTACTATTCGTGCTAACAGCTTGACAGAAAGCGCCCTCTATCCAGCATTGGCCAACTCACAACCTTAGCATGGTAGATGCACAGAGCAAGAAGAAGCAGGACGAGTACAAAAGAAAGGGCGAGGTAGCGAGGAGAAAGACAATTTCCGCCCAAGCCTCAGCGCCCCAGTACGAACTGATCAAAGAGCCTACATCGATGCCTCGCAAACGCAAGGCTTCAATTATTGACGACTTGACAACTACACCTGCACCACCTCCTCGCTTTAGACGTCTTCTTCCGGGTTCACCCAAACCAAAGCATGGGCAGCAACAGAGCTTCACAAGCAGCCCCGTGGTAAACCACCACCCGACTCCTCATCTACCGCAACCGGGCCCCATGCACTACATCGATCCGCGGCAGTATCACCCACCACCGTATATTTCTCCCTACCCACAGTATCAAGAACCGGTTCATGCGCGACCCTTAGTTTACATGCCTCAACATCAACCGCATACGCCCGCAGCACCTCCACCACCGCCTCCTAAGATTGTCCACCCTGAGACCATACCCCAAGATATCACAAGCACCTACGACGAGTACAGGTGGCCGGTCGTTCTATATGAGCTTGAACCTGGACATGGCTTCGACTTTGCCGAGTCCTTTTTACAAGATCAGTTGGAGGAAGGAATCTACCACTCAGACAGCAACAGATGGGACGCGCATATTACAGCAGGCTTCATCAAGAATGGAAACAGAATGTCGCTTCTAGTTTTACATAACGCTGCGAACCCGTTTCAGTATGACCCACCGGCCACAACGACTACCAGCATCGGCGTATATGGAATGTTTGCTCATGAGCATAACGAGATCCATTGGACGACTGTTGCGCCATCTGTTCACAAATGGCTCCGCTTATCCATGGAAGCGGATCTTCTCACGGTCAAACAGAAGTGGTTTCCCAACATGAAGGCTTCTGACAAGCGGTTCCATCGCGCGTATTGGTTGGCTGCCAATAAACTGCCGCTCAACCGCATACTGAACCATAACGTGGCACCCGAGAAGCCGTACGGAGTGTTTGAAGACAACGAGAAGAATAACTTTGTGATTACGGAAGAGGACCTGCAGTACGGGTGGGATGGAGAGAGTGTATCGATGGAGGAATCGGAGAAGATCTGGGAGAGGATTGTCGACGAGATGGAGGGAGTGGACCTGGCGGACGTCGAGCATGTGTCTATAGGAGGATCAGAGAGGGCGTTTACGGCGGACTGGTTTAGCAAGTGAGGGTGTACTCGCTACCCAGGTATGCAATGCCATGAGCTCACATATGACGGGAAAGGAGATTTTCAGGAAAGGAAGTGGCTGCCTATCAGCCCGCATGTAGTATAGTCTCATTTAGAGAAATGACAGACGATCAAAACCATCAGAACACTTTGGACATTCATCTGCTATCCACAAGCGCTAATGAGAAAGCTAATCTAATTCCAACTCTATCAGGCCGAGGCCATGGCTCTCGATGAGAATAGTCCACCGTCCCACCGCGTTATCAAGACAAGGGCCTCTCTAACATCCAAATCTAGCACTAATCATCGATCTCCTCGTCTTGAACACTCATCGTCTCGACGCTCTCGGCAAGGCTCAGGCCCGTTCCACCCGCTCTCAAGGAAGGTTTTTTCCCTTTGCCCTTTGTTCTCTTC